ATACCCTTACATACCCTGAAGATGCCTTTGAGAATGGACTAAGACCATCATCATATCCATAGACGGGGATTGTACCGTCCAGGCGCATATATATGGAGCTGAATATAAGTTCCAGAAAGGTGTAAGTGCAATTTTCCTTTATTTACCATCACCAGCAGTCTAATATACTACACTATATTTCTGTCCTCTCCCTTTTGTTCCCCATTTTGCCATGAGCTTGAGAAGACTACCATAGGCTCTTCTTCCTGACACTATCTTCCAGTTCCATATAACCGCCATTAGAAATAAAGACAACTCCCTGCAATAATACCAAGATTTGGGGCATACCCGATACGATTATGGCGACAGAATTTTTTAAGTCTTATTTGTCCTGTATTCTCCCTGACATATTAAGCTCCGAGGTAATAATCAACAGGATCCAAAGGCTACCAAAAAGAAATAACGCTTCCCCACCATATTCCTTAAGAGAAGTCCTAGAAGCTGCTCCAAAGATAAAGTGGCTGACAAGAATGCTCACATTCAATTGTTCAATTATTTTTCAGTTTTTACCATGAGTAAGCGAAAGGAACTTCAAACTATAACAGACTTTGAGAATCAATAATACTGCCTACCGTGGGGGGATTCCAGTTACACTGCTAATCTAATGCAATGGCGTAACTAACTTGATCTCATCAATTCAAGAAGGAAAGAAAGAAATTATTTGAACTATGGAATATTCAGCTACCTTCCATCAGGGCCGGACTGGGGATACGAAGCAGTCCTGGAAAAAAAAAAAAATCTATGCCAGCCCCATAAGTCATTGTGCTATGTAGGGTGATATATATAGTTGGCTGCACTCTCGGATTTCCTGAAAATGTAACTTTTATTGAAATATTTAAGATAAGATCAATGTTTCAGTCCCTCTTGTGGACTTTCGTCATGATCCTGATGCAAGTCCACAAGAGGGACTGAAACGTTGATCTTCTCTTAAATATTTCAATAAAAGTAAAATTTTAAAGAAATCCGAGAGCGCAGCCAACTATTTCAATTGCCTATATATATACTGGATACTGGAGCCCTGGTGATGCAACAGTATGTATATATATATATATATAATTTTTTTTATTGATACATTTCTTCTTCTAATTCAAAATATTAGTTCTTTTAGGGTAATTAAATTATACAGTAAAGCATACTCACACACAGACAATCTTACTGATGCACACAAATAGGCTCATTGACAGAGAATGACACACACAGACAAGGCTACTGGCACACACAACTTTAGTACAGACAAACTCTGATACATACACAAGCTTACTATAGACAAGCTCACTGTCACACACACGCTCACTACAGATAAGCTCACTGATGCGCACACACTCTCCCTACAGACAAGCCCATTGACACACACGCTCCCTACAGAAGAGCTCACTAACACACAGATTCACTACAGAAAAGCTCACTGACACACACACATATGATCCCTACAGACAAGCTCACTGACACACATACAAGCTCACTCACTAGCAGGCACACACACACACACACAAACTCACTAGCAGACACACACACACACACACACACACACACACACACACACAGAGGCAGACAGTCACTGACACCCAGGTAGACAGCCACACATACAAAGTAAGGCAGACAGCCACACATACAAAGTAAGGCAGACAGCCACACACACACACACGCAGACAGTCACGCACACAGACACACGCAGACAGCCACACACACACGCAGACAGTCACGCACACAGACACAGGCAGACAGTCACTGACACCGAGGCAAACACCCACACATACAAAGACAGGCAGACAGCCACACACACACACACAGGCAGACAGTCACACACTCACACAGACAGTCACGTACTCACAGACAGTCACACACACACAGTCACACACACTCGCAGAGTCACACACTCGCAGAGTCACACACTCACAGAGTCACACACTCGCAGAGTCACACACACAGTCACACACACAGTCAGTCACACACACACAGGCAGTCACACACACACAGGCAGTCACACACACACAGGCAGTCACACACACAGGCAGTCACACACACAGTCAGTCACACACACAGTCAGTCACACACACAGTCAGTCACTGACACCGAGGCAAACACCCACACATACAAAGTCAGGCAGACAGCCACACACATACAGACACGCACACACACAGGCAGACATGCACACACAGGCAGACACGCACACACACAGGCAGACAGTCACACAGTCACGTACTCACACTCGCACAGAGTCACACTCGTACAGAGTCACACACACAGTCACACACTCACAGGCAGTCACACACACACACAGACACACTGACCTGCTTCTTCCCTCCTGCTTGGAGCTCCTGGAGGCTGGTTGTTGGGGAAGCAGGGACTCCTTCCTGCTTCCCATGCTGCAGTCAGCCAGGCCCCTGCCGCACAGTAAGCCCCGCCCCCGCCGCAATTTTTTTTTTTTTAATGATCCCGGCCGGCCATGTGTGAGTTGTGCTGGCCGCCTGGCTCCCCCTGCTCCCATGGGGCTCTGTACGGCCGCACAGCTCACACATGGCCGCCGGGATCACAGGAGCTGTCAGCCCAATGATTAGGGCTGTCAGACCGGCCCCAGGTGCCGCGGCCCACTGGGAAATTTCCCGGTATCCCGGTGGGCCAGTCCGGCCCTGCCTTCCATATCTCAACAAACTGGGGACGATCTCCAGAGACCAAACAAAATATTCAGAGAGTCTGCACCATCCTCCACTTCACACTAAGAATCTCCTTCTAAAAGTTAAAATCTTGAGAATTCTTCAAATAGAAATACGGTTCAAATATGTCTGCCTAACAGAGTTTATGGGTACAAATTTTGAAGTGTTTAGTGAATCTTCACTCATATTGGATTTTTGTTTTGGTTAGCTAGTCTGATATGTGAAGCCTTCATGGCCCCTGTGATAAGGAAGGTTAGTGCTAGGTTACACAGTTTGGTGCTATGGAAAATGATCTAACTCATTGTAGAATGTTTGTGCTAGGTTGCACCTTCCCATATTGGGAATCTGCACCCTAGCACAGCTATCTATATAAAAATAAGTACTGTTTACAAGTGGTTGGAAAACTACCAAGTTTTTGTCATTAGCTTAAAATTTACTATGCACCATTTGGTGGTGTGGAAAATTATGTAACTTTTTGTAGAACGAAACATATGTGCTATGTTGCACCTTCCCCATATTGGGAATCTGCTCCCTGGCACAACCATTTATATACAACTATTCACTGCATTAAACTGGCTGGTAGACTATCGATTTTTGTTTATTTCTATTAGCTTAATTTATTAAGCATTGTTTGTTGCTGCATGATTTAACACTCTATAACCGAAGCATAGGCGTGCACAGCCTATTGTATAAGGGTGTGCACCCTAAAGCAGAAAAACACACTCCGAGTATATACATATATATATATACATACATACACATATACATATACATACATACACATATACATATGTAGAAAGGCCATTAGGCCTGAATTTGTGGGAGGAGTAAGTCCCCTACTTAAGCTCCCAGCCCCTATTCACCGCTGCCGCTCAGCTGATTGTCCTTAGCAACCAGCACTTCCGGTCCAGCTTCCCGCCAGAACTGTACCTGTTTTCCAGCAGCCAGTCGCCCTGTGCAATCCTCCGTCCGTCCGAGGTCCTTCCACTCCGTTTCCCTCCGGTCGAGGTACCCGACTTCCGGTCACCAGACCGGCGCGTTCACGTAAGCAAGGCGTGGGAATTAGCGTTCGCTATTTCCCCGCCGTACGGGCCTAAAAACGTAGGGGTAGGCTCCCTCTTTCGCATTTTCACGAATACACGCTTTTCGTTAATATCTCCATTCGCGCCAAAAAATGCACGAACATTCGGCTCATTTCGCTATCATTTAATGCATTTTCGTACGGAAACAACCGAATGAATATTTCATGTTTATGTTCATTATTATCTGTATTCACTTTTTCCGTTCGGTTATTTCAGCACTAACCTATTCGTATGGTTAAATTCACAAACACCATCTTACTAATTTACATTCGGTTATTTCTATTCTTTTAAACTAAGCATGCATAAGTTCTAATCACAGTCCTACTATTATTTATTCCTTCATATCAGTTTGCGGTTACATTATATGGTTAACTACCAGCCCTGTGTTTTCCTACCTTGTTAAACCATTTAAGTATTTTTCTGTAATAAACATAATGTTCACCACGGTTCTTAACTTCATACGTATCTAAATTCAAGCTATACCATTCTTTCCAAATAACACTCAGATAAGTCATTTAAACACTATTTACAAGTTATACCCTTTACACATAATCCGTACTATTCCTTGCACATAAATCACGCTGTCACATTTTTGGCTTTTACAGATTGCATCGGTCTCTTGCTTTTCTGCATTAAAGTTGTTATTTCAAGGTCCTTTTATTACAGGAACAGGTATGGTTTATTATCACCTTGATTTATCAGGTTTTTATCAATTATCTTCACATCTATTGCTAAATAGGAAATTTGTCTTGGTTAAACCCTTAGATCCTGTACTAATCTAAGCTTCCACCGTTTCTACGCAGTTAACCTGCCACGATTAAACAATCTCTGTACTTTAAATAAAGGTATAGTTCACTCTCTTTTCAATACTAGACCTCACGCGGTCTCAACTCCATTACTACCTTCCCTCAGGCTTACGCCCAGGATACGTTATCTCTTTACTACTTGTCCACACAGACTTTCGGTCATACGGCCATCAGGCTCAGAAGACACCAAAAACCTGACCCGGTACTCAGCCATACCTTCAGGTACTTACATCCTTACTCAAGTACGTTCATTCGCTACCCCAAGGCCTCATTCTGCCTTCTCACTCATATCCTAAATCATCCCATTCCTACACCTAAACCTCCCAGATCCCTCAATGCAGGATCTCACGTGGTGCCCCTAACAAACCTTCTCCCTATACTATTCATACGACATCACGATACGTATAAACACATCAACATCTGTCTTAAACCCCCAGGATTCTTCCTCAAAGACAACATTTAAGACAAGACTCTCTACACTTACCAGGAGGCTCCAGATACCATTTGCGACCAGTCAAGGTTAGTATCCACACACCACTCCAGTCCTCTAACTTTACCCGTTAGCATACTATCGAACTGGCTATACGGCACAGGCTACTGCCTTAGCCCACCCTATCAGGAAATCTGATCCCGCGAGGCCTACCACCCCCACCCCACCTCAACACGGAGGTACGGCCCCACGCCCAAATCATAGTTATAAGCCTCGCATGCCTTACTACAGGGCTCTAGTTAGGGCCTCACCTGTCACGGCCACACGTTTTGATTTCTCTTATCGTCACCGAGAGGCCAACATCCCGCCACCACGTCTGTGGCACCTACGTCATAAGCCAAATCATAGGTAGAGCCTCTCATCGCCACTTGGCATTAGCAGGGCCTCACCTATCCAGTCATTCAATAGTTAAGTTTTTCGCCTCGGCATCTAGCATTAAAGTCCAGTTCTTCAAGACACACCACTCCCCATACCCCCCCCTTCTTACCTCACTCCCCTTCTAATATATCTTTCACATAATCATTCCTTTTTAGAATGTCCCAAGAACCAATTCCAACCGAAGAACTGACAGAAGAAACACCATTCACGCCAATCAGACCCGTGTCTCCAGGCGAATCACTCACTCTTTCAACCCCCACGTCCTTGAGAGCATGGACTATTCCCAAAATCACAGCCGAGCTTAGGCTCAGGGGAATCCCCTTTCCGGCCACAGCTAGAAAGGCAGAACTTTACAGGCTGCTTACCCACCAAGTCCCCGAGCCTCGGCCGGGAACTAGCTCTCAAGGACAACCACCAAGTAACAGCACGGCCACCCAGGATACCCTGGCAGATATCTTGGCCAATCTACAGGCCCTCAATAGCAGGCTGTCTAAGGTGGAGAGCGCCATCTCCTCCTCAGGTACTAACACCGTAGTCCCAGTCTCTACCACGGCTGTACCTGCCATACCTTCATGTCCCTCTATACTCCCCCCTCCAGCACCTGGCACAGCCATCACACCTTTCGAGTCACCAGCACACTCCGTCCCAGATTCTATCAGGAAAGATATCCTTGACGGGAAGGATGTGTGGCTGGTGTCTTTACTCATAGCCTCTCAGGATGTACTCGAGAACAAGGCATACAATTATGGTGACATTTCTGTTGTGCTTAAAACGAGGGATCCCAGGCTTAATAAAAAATTGTCTATCCCACAGTTTGTGATAGCTTTTGGGATATACCGCGACGTCATTTGCACGGTGTATCCCCATAGGAGAGAAGAGCTAGATCTCTATCTCCACAAGGTAGTGGATCTAGGCATCAAGTACGGGGGCTCTTCCTTCTATGACTACCACAAGTCAGTCTCAGCGAAGGCGGCGACCCATCTCAAGCAGTTCAACATTAGAATGAACTGGGGTCAGATGGACACTGAACTTTTCTGTCGCCACTTCGCTGGACTCAGGCCCCCGGCTTGTGCCATCTGTAATTCTACATCCCACATGGCGGACTTATGTCCCGTCGAACCAGATCCCACCACCTCCACTCTCACCCCTCACCCCACGTTCACACCTCACTCCTCTTTCACCCCTCACAACAAGCCAGCGGGTGGTCTCCGGGATAAGCTGGGTAGGCCCATCTCCTTTTTAGGTAAAGCACAGGTGTGCAATAATTTCAACGCAGGCTCCTGCAGTTTCAGCGCCTGTAGATTATTGCACATCTGCTCCATATGTTTCAGGGCACATACCAAGACCATGTGTCCAGCCAGGTTGTCACCAAACAAATGACTAACCGACATAAATATCGACAACCTGGTTTTTTATCTAAGGTCTCACCCCAGCGGGCACTTAGTGGATTTTCTCACCACAGGTTTCTCACAAGGGTTTCACACAGGCATAATAGCCATTCCACCAGGTACACTAGAATGTCCTAATCTCCAGTCTGCACGTTTAGACCCAGTCGCTGTAGACACTCTCATTTCCGCAGAAACCACAAACGGTTTCATGATCGGTCCTTTCACCTCTTCACCGTTTTCCTCCTGGCGCACTAACCCTATTGGTATTGCTATTCACAAATATTCTAATAAAAAACGTCTCATTATCGATTTATCGGCACCGCACTCCTCTTTTGTTCCAAGCATAAACGCACTCATTCCAGCAGACGAATTCTCTCTGCAGTACGTCACCATCGACGACGCCATACAGTCCATCATGACATCTGGTAATCGACCCTGGCTCAGCAAAACAGACATCACTAACGCCTTTAAATTACTGCCCATACACCCCTCACTCTGGCACTTACACGGTGTTAAATGGCGAGGGTATTATTACTTCTCAACACGACTCACTTTTGGTTCCCGAAGCAGCCCCAAACTTTTCGACATTTTCGCAGAGTCACTATGCTGGCTGCTTCTGAACGTCATCAGGTGTCACTCCGTTATTCACTATCTAGATGACTTTCTACTGATAGAGCCAGGGTCATCAACACCCACAGCAATCAATAGTACTACCGCACTTTTTTCCACACTTGGAGTCCCTTTGTCCCCAGCCAAAACTATAGGACCCACAACAAAGTTGACCTTTTTAGGCATAGAGCTCGATTCTGTCAAACTCAGAGCTAGCCTTCCACACGACAAACTTTCACGATTGAGAGGGGAGATAGACACGTTCCTGCGGAGTGACGTTTGCACCAGGAGAGAACTTCAGTCCCTTCTTGGATCTCTGAACTTCGCCATGCGCATCATTCCGCAGGGAAGGTCTTTTATTTCCAGACTTCTTTGCCTGCTCCATGGAGTCCCGGACTCCGGCACAGTTTCTTTGGACCCCCACGCCAAGGCTGACTTGGCTATGTGGGGGAAGTTTTTGAAAGACTGGAATGGTATCTCCATGTTTATCCCCCCTCTCTCCACCTCTTCACCCATCATCCACACAGACGCAGCAGCCAACACCGGTTTCGCAGCCATTTTCGGGAACCACTGGTTTAGGGGCCACTGGCCCTCTGAGACGGATGCCTTGCCAGGATTCAGGGAGACCTCAACCCTATTTGAAATTTACCCCATTGTGGCGGCCGCACACACCTGGGGTCATCTCTGGTCCGGCAAGGCAGTAAAATGCTACTCAGATAACTCGGCAGCTTGCGATATCATTAACAAAGGGCGCTCATCATCCCTGACCATCATGCGGCTGATTCGCAAGTTGACCTGGCTGGCAGCATCCAATCAGTTTCACTTAGTATGTTCTCACATCCCGGGTATTCACAACACCGCCGCTGACGCTCTTTCTCGTTCTCGATTCCAGGCATTTTCTCAGGCACTCCCAGCAGCTCACCAACAGCCATCCAGGACACCACGGTTTCACGAACTAATATTGGATTAAGCACACTCTTGCTTCACGCTAGATCACTCACTCACCAAGCATTATCACCCAACACTGCTATCACTTACAATAGGGCACTTAACATATTTAACAAATTCACTGCAGAATTCGGGCTACAAGGTGACTTTTCTATCCAAACCATGGTGTCTTTTGCCTCTTTCTGCCACCTACACCTTAATCTGTCACACAACACCATTAAACTTTACCTCACCGGGGTTCAGCACCACAGCCTCACCAATTTTCCTAACAGCACCCCCTTTTTGTCTTCATACCCCATTAAAAAGGTATTGAAAGGTATATCAAAGGTTTCACCACCACTCGCAAGCACTAGATTACCCATAGACGGGCCTATCTTCAGGTCACTTAGCAATCTCCTTGACACAGCCCCATTTGATAGCCACACCAATACGGTGATAAAATCTGCCATATATCTCGCTTTCCACGGTTTTCTCAGACCTAGAGAATTCACAGTGATTTGTCAAGGAGATATCGCACGATGCCTTAAAACTTCACACCTCACCAAGGTAGAGGATCACTACCTCCTTTCTATCCCTACCACTAAAACCAACCGGTCAATACATCCTACAATAATTCCTCTCTTCCCTACTGATAATGCCTGGTGTCCGGTGAAAGTTCTCGACCAACTACGGTCTACTTTTCGCACTCACCTGCCAGACTCTCCGCTCTTAACATTACAAGGGCACCCGCTTACCACGGCAAAATTGATGTCTCATGTCAGAACTCTGTTATCTAAGCTCGGACACAACCCGGCTGCATTCTCTGTGCACTCCTTCCGCATAGGAGCCGCCTCAGCAGCCTCAAGCACAAACGCACCGGTCCACATCATCAAAAGGCTCGGGCGATGGAAATCCTCCATATATAACACATATATTCCGCAACCAGAGAAAGAGCTTCGCCAAGCTTTCAGGAACTTGGTCTTGTAAAATGCAATAAAGTGTGTATTTTCTTGAATTTATCTTTTGCCCTCTTTTATTTACAGGCCCACTCGTACGTTGGTTTCGGCACACCACAACCAACTTTGCTCACAGTTACTATCCATCACGTATTTAAATTCCGAGCACAAGTAGAAAGGCCATTAGGCCTGAATTTGTGGGAGGAGTAAGTCCCCTACTTAAACTCCCAACCCCTACTCACCGCTGCCGCTCAGCTGATTGTCCCCACCCACCTACACCCTGTTTTAACTACATTATCCTTGGTGGGCCCTCTTTTATTTACAGGCCCACTTGTACGTTGGTTTCGGCACACCACAACCAACTTTGCTCACAGATACTATCCATTACGTATTTAAATTCCGAGCACAAATATATA